ATTCTTCAGCATCTTTGTTGAGTTTCTTTCTGGTAGTTCTATCTTTTTTATTTTTAATTTTATTGGGCAAAACATGTTGGGGATACTAGGAGTGAGGGTTGGGAGCAGAAGGGTGAGTATGGGTAGGGATGAAAATTATAGGGATGCAGTTGCAGAGCTGCACAATTTGGTTGGTGGAGGGAGCAGGTGAAGGAAATGAAAAGGATCCAGTGGGGACCAGATGATTCAATGCAATTGTAAGCATAGACCAATAGTGATTGAACAAGCTGTCTTATTCACTTTTGGGTTTCTCATTTGGGAACTGGGAGCAGACTCTCTGGCTTCTTCATGCTGAACAGGGGCATTGATGTGAAGGGGAAAAGGGAGCACACTTTATCATCACCTTACTGGTGGTCTTGAGTTAAAGATGCTTGCCTTCTTGTTCTGTTAAAAGATATTTTCCTGACATTTACTCCCCTCTGGACTGCAAAATTTTTTCCCAGGTGGGTCCAGTGGGGATGGGTGACTGAACCCTGAGGCTCCATACTCCTTTGCTTCCTTAGCTGGTGGTTGTATTTCCTTTTTGTCTCTGGAACTGGGTTCAGGGTCAAGTCTGGAGTACAACTCAGTGTTAAGGTTACCTATAGGAAAGGAAGAAAACCTAGAGAGAACAAAATTGTGAGTTACAAATAGAAGGGCTTTGGGGGTGTTACTTACCAGTGTACTGGGGAGAGGGTGGAGAAAAGTAGCCTAGATAAAATCTCTGTATACCCTAGGCAGTTTTTCCTACCCAGGGGTCAGATGGTACAACTTGAGGGCTGAGGAGCTCACCCCGAGGGCCAAAGATGGCTCACCCCAGACCAGGTGAAACACCCTAGGGGCTGGCTGGCACACTCCCCCACCAAAGTGCCCCCCCAAGTCCAGACCCCTCGCCTGACCAAAGACCATGTGGCCAGGGACAGCATCCCCCATTCCAGCGCCACTACCTTTACCCCCCCTCCCAATAAGTGGTCATACTGTACTTTGAAGTAGGTGTCACTTCCCTCTCCCTTAATAAATGGAGAAGGGAACCTGAGGATGGTGAACAGACTTTGCCCGGGTCTAAATAGTTCTTGTCAGAGGCATTCAACAGATCAAAACATGTGGTGCATTTAGAATGTCTGCCTTCTTGGAAATGTTGCCACTGTTAAAGTGTCTTCAAGTAGACAGGTCACAGTCACTTTCATCGATCCATTGTATTGGTGATCTTCTTCTCTGGCCTGCCCAAGGAAACCTGAAACTGCTGCTGTGTGTCCTGCTGCCACCATCTTGGCTGCAAGAATTCTCCCTGAACAAGTTCACTCTGCATCAGTGTGGTGGCTCCACTGCACCAGCCTCAGAGAGACTCGGTGCCGACTGTCCATCTCAGGTGAGGGGATCTCTGGGGTCCAGTGGTGGGAGCCTCATGGAGCTGCAGCAGTGTGGCTCAGGCTCGGCAGCAGGGGCCTGGGAGCTCTGGGACTCACCCATTCCTCCCTGGGAATGCTTGATCTGATGTTGAGCCTTGATCTGCACTGAAGACCAGTCATCAACTGTCTAACTGTTCAATTACCAGTAAACAGAGGTCTGTAGAAGGCCATGGTGGCCCTTCTCCAAGGGGTCTGCTGCTCCCTCAGCTCGACATGTTGTCTCCACCTCTGCTGCCATCTTGGGTCTCTCTATCTTTTTTGAGTGCTGTATTGAAGTATCCAAACACTATAGTGTTCTTGATTATTTTTCAGTTTTGTATATTATGCTGCTCTGTTTTTTTTGGTACACAGATATTTATTATTGTTATGTTCTCTTGTTCTATTGATCTTTTAAACACTATATAGAGACCTTCCTTGCCTTTGTGAGAGTTTTTCCATTGAAATCTATTTTATCAGAGATTAATATCATTACTTCTGCTGTTTTTCTGCTTGCAATGTCCTTGGTATATTCTTTTCCACCCTTTAATTTTTAATCTCTCTTTATCTTCACTTTTCAAGTGTGTCTCTTGTAAATATCATATTGATGGATTTGGGGTTTTTATCCCATCTACTACTCTTTTTTTCTTCAGTTGTACATTTAAATCATTCACATTTAGTGTAATTCTTGAGTGGCAAGGTTTTATTTTTATCACTTGTTGAGTTATTTTTGGTGCTGCTGCTGTTTACATTGGTCCATTCTGCTTTCTGTGGCACCTCGATAAGTAAGATTTCTCTCAGTGTTTTCTGTGATGTTACTCTTGTTGCAAACTCCCTTATGATCTGCTTTTTTGAGAATATCTTGATCTCTCCTTCATATGTGATTGACAATTTTGCTAGGTATAGTATTCTTGATTGACAGTTGTGTTCTCTGAGTTTTCAATATATGTTATACTACCATCTTCTTACTTGCATGGTTTCTGTTGGGAAATTGGCACTTAATCTTATTTTATATCCTTTACAGATATACTCTTTTTTCCCCCCTCCCTAGCCATTTTCAGAATTCTCCCTTTATCTTTGATTCTGGCAAATTTGACTGATATGACTGTTTTCTTTCATTCCTTACTCCTGTAAAGTTTTCTTCTTGTAATTCTTCCACAACTTTCTCATTGCTTTTACTTGCTTCTTCTTGTTCTTGAAATCTGATTATGTGCATGTTATTTCTCTTGATATGGTGTCCCATATTATTCTTAGACTTTCTTCTTTGTCCTTTTTTTATTCTGCTTTTGATGGTAGCAGATGAAGTTTAAGGTGTTAATTGTTCACAAGTGGCAGAAGGCAGAGACTCATGAGGGATGTTTAAATGGTGAAGGTCAAAATCTCCATCTGGCAAATAGCAAAATTGAGCTGTCCTGTCCTCATTTTAATTACAGAAGCAGGCATAGAATACATGAAGAAAGTCACGTACACTTTTTTCAGGTGAAGAAAAACGGGAAACGTTCTTACTGAAGTAAATGATCTTTGACTACTCAAGGTTCTGTGTTCTTTCTCTTGATCTTGTTACAAAGAACAAATGGGTAAGTAAGACTGATGAAAGTCTTTTGACTTGAAGTGTGAAGTTTTCTGGGGAAAGTGCTGAGACTGTTTGCAACCTCCCCACCCCCAGCATTCCAGGAGCTCTTGATTGCAAGAACTCCTTTGGTATACTTAACCCTTTAGGGGTAAGCGGCTCAAAAAGTGCTGAAGCAGAGCAGTTCTTAAAACTAGATAGAGCAATTATCAGCCCTGACATTCCTAAGGGTTTCTTATGTTCAAAGGCCTCAGGTGTTCCTAGAATATTTCCTTTCACCGTACACTCCTTATTACACTTAACCCTTCAGGGATCCTTCAGCAGATAAGTGGTATTGTTGCTCCAACATATTGACAGCATCTGAAACATTGGTCCTCTTATTTTGAATGTGGTTTCTTTTTTTTCCCAGAGCCTCTAATGCCTTGCTTGTTTTATCTGTGTTGTTTTGGATTTTTTTTTTTAAGCTTCTCTTGTTTTTTTCTTGCAGTGTCCTATAATTCTTTAAATTTGTCTTTCACTCATTGAAAATACCCAAACATTGTTCTTTTAAATTCTGTGTGAGAAAGTTCCATAAGATTTTCTGGCTTCAGAAAGTCCATTGATACTGTGTCACTTTTAAGGGGTGATATCTTGTTTTGGGTTTAGGTAGGATGTGAGCTAGCCTGCTTCTCATATGACATTGCTGTGATAGAGTTTTTCACACCTGAGGCAATAGCAGGCTATGTATGGTCTGACATCACTGCTCCAGAGGACGGTGGGACAATTACCATGTCTGAGTTGCTCCCTGTAATTTTGACTCAGGGGATGACTCTCTTAAGTTCAGGAGAGATAAGTTCTGTGAATCAAGAGCCTCTTTTGTAAGACAACTGCTGCAGCTAGGCCAGTCCAAAGTGCTCCAGGCTAAAGGCAACTCACAGTTTGTGAGGGGAGAGGACATGAACTGGGTTCATTTGTGATACTGATGCCTTGGGACAGTTCAGAGAGGTGGCAGTGGGTCATCCTCCAGGCGTTGGGTCCAGGGCACATCAGGTAGCAGGGATGGGACTTCTAGGCAGTGGGGATGGAACTTCCAGGGATTGGATGGGACTTTTGGGTAGTGAGACTAGCATTTATAGGCAGCAGGCAGAGCATCCCAGCAGCCAGGCTTAGACTTCCGTGGGGAGAGCCAGTGCCTGGTTTCCAGACAGAAGGCAGAAGCATACAGGCAGCAAGGTAAGGTTCTTCAGGTGGCTGGTTCAGGGGTCCAGTTGGCAAGGCTGGGGGCCTCTAGTTGGAGGGCAGGCCCTGCCAGGCAGAGGTGTCCCAGTCTAGTTCCAGGCAAGAGACCAGGGCAGGACATACTAGAAATTTTTAATGCAGATATGTAGTTAATTGAGTTGGTAACAGGGATGGAGGGTGACATGGCTCAGAGGGTGTACTTGCTTAGTTTATTTTTCCCCATCCATTTATTTTTAGTCTTTCTATTTCTTCACTTTGCTAGTGTGTCTCCTATAGATAGCATATTGATGGTTTTTTATTTTTGTTTTTTTAATTCAATCTG